GGCCCTGTGGGCAAAGGGGCGTCGGTCAGAACAACCCAGACGGCTCCTCCCGGAGTCTGTCTGCTTAGCTGTCCCATGGGAGGGCACAGGACTCAGAAACTGAACACCGGGCACAAAAACGGGGTCCGAAGTCTGAGAAGTTACTGCACCAGACACGACTTCAAACACTGGCGGGCACTGGGAGCGCCGGCCGCCCGCCGTGCATGGATTTGTGTTTTACTGCAGATCGTGTGTACTCTTTCACTTCATAACCTGAAGCGTAAAATCCCAACTGCTCTAAAATACACCTTTTTGGTGCGGATACGATATCACAAATGGAAAATTCCAAACGTCGTGTGACAAGTCACACTCAAAAAGAACTCTAAACTGAATGTATAAAGTTACCATCAGGCTGTTGGTAGGTGTAAGGTGAACAACAAATACACGTAAATTTCATCTTAGACTTGGTGCCCAAACCCAAAATGTCTCATTAGGCAAATATCAATATCTGCAAAAATTCAAAATCCAAAATGCGTCTGATCCCAACAATTTCAGAGAAGAGATACTCAGTTCACATCCCCTTAAACCGCTTAGCAATGTGAACATGAATTTTACTGTTTACCAAAGTCTTTGAATTAAATCTCCTCCCTTCTAAGTTTAGCCCTGGATGATAGCACAAGGCTACCTGGCCCTAAGAACATGGCTAACAAAAATCCACTTATGAAAGGTTAAAATGTTCTGAAGTTTGAGAACTCGTAATACAGCGGCAGGTATTTTTATGCCTGCACAGAGTCTGGGAGTTCATCGTGTCCCTAATTCTAAGGGTAGCAGGGAGGAGCCAGAGGTCTCGGGGACTGCTTCGTGTACGTTTCATTAGCAGAAATTTCAGTTTCCTGCAGTGGTAAATCGGCCAGTAACACTGTTATGAAAGGACAGATTTAGAAGTGTATGTTGCCCTCGGATTCTCTCTGCTGTGTATCCAAATAGCACGAAGTCTCTAAAACAACACAGAACACAGCTGGGGGAGAACATTACCCGGGCCGGTACGCTTCAGAGCCGTCTTTGATGGTCGGCAGCGTGGCCTTGATCGGGTGTCCAGACGCAGACATGGACTTCTGGTGGCGAGGCCGGGCGGAGGGGACAGCAGAGGCCCCGGCAGAGCCCGCCGAGGAAATGCTACTCACAGACATCTCTGTGAGGCTTCATGGAGGCAGGCGAGAGCACACGGAATTGGGGAACAAAACAAAGCAGGGCAGAGAAAGTGCAGCTTACTAAAGGTGCAAAGAAATAGGTTTTTAAATCTAAATTGACCAACATTCTTCAAGACTGAAACACATCAAGGACCTAACAAAGGCGGCACTGTTAGTGACCAACGAGACAATTCATATTCTCAACAGAAGTACACAGGGAGCCGGGTGCAGTGGCACAGGCCTGTAATCCCAGCTTCTTGGAGGCTGAGGCAGGAGGAGCTCAACTTGATTTTAGCTTGGGTGATTTAGTGAGACTTTGTTTTAAAATTGTACAAAGCTGGGGGTGGAGCTCAGTGGTAGAGCACTTGCCTAGCATGTGCAAGGCCCTGGGTCCAATCTGTAGTACAAAAAGAGTCTGTCTTTCACTGAAGACATTATAAACACTTGCTTTGTATTTTTGTGTGTATTTCATGTATTTTCTGTGCATGTGTGACATGTTCCTGGGTTGCACGTACTAGATTATTCATACGAGTCCATCATGATGCCCAAACTGCCATCTCTGGAAACCTCAAAACATGAAGCCCTCGCTTAACTGCAGAGGCCCTTGGTACAGGAAGGACAGGTGGGAGTCGGGAGTTAGTTTCCAGCTAAGTAAGTGGCCAAGGGATTTCATGTCCAGAGAAGACACACTGATCTCTGTGTCCTCACAGGACTGCCTCCACTTAAGAAGGAAGGTCTAAGAGGTTTATTAGGATAGAATCCAACCCAGAATGTGACTAAGTTACATTTCTTGAAATAATAAAAATATGACTTATCGTTGTTTAAAATAGAACACTTTAAGAAGTTCGTGGTTCTAACGAACCAGTGCAGACGGTCCCATTCCTCAGAGGAAGTAAAAGAAACCTTTTTACTTGGACACCGTGGTGGATGGGTGGGACAGGAAGGGACGGGGGAAGAGGAGGCCGCAGGCACAGAAGAAACTGGATTCAAGTCAGGAGGACCGCAGGCTACTGAGAGAAGCGCCTCCTCAGACTCCCCAGAAAGGCACACGTCGGAGATTTACCTCCCGCCTCCCCGCTGGCTGTGGCCTTGCTGTCCGCTCGGGTCGCTCTGCCCTTCTTATCTACAGTCGGCTCAGCAGGAGCCCCACTGGCCCGGCATGCGACCCCCACCTGCTGTCTTTTCCGTTCTGCAGCGCGGCGTACCGGTCTGTGGTCCTCTCGCAGACGTACGTGTTCCTTCTCGCCATGCTGCCTCCAGTATACACGTTGTTCTTTGAGGAGAAAAAGAGCAATTTAAAAATTCTAATTATTTTTGTGGAAAGCGGGACCCACATTAGTGCTGCGCTGCTCACAGCAGAACTTTAACTGGTTGGACTCTTACAAGACCGCGATGGCCCTTCACCTCCTCTCTGCTCTCCTCCTCCTACCCACTCTGTTCCCTTCTTCCATGTATTTATTTATTTAGGTGCCGCAGATTGCACTTGGGACCTTGGGCTTGCGTGGCAGGCGGTAGCATCACTACAGTAAATCCCCGGCTCTCCTTCTCCCATTTAGATTTGAGGAGTAAAAGCCGCAGCACAGAACACAGGCTGGTCACAGTCGCAGCTCATGACCTACAGCAGCGGCCAGCCATCCTTTGGGTGGAACAAGGAAGCAGGGTTTCCTCTTCTACCTCCTTGCAGGTGAAGATGGGAACTGCGGGGAATCTGCCCCTGGCGCCGATGGGCCCACCCTCCCTGCCTGCCGCTGCACCTGCCCGGGACAGCGGGACACCAAAGCCCTGGGCCGAAGGCGTGCCTGCCAGAGCCAGGCCCAGGGGTCCCCTCTGGTCCCGCGGTGAGCCAGGAGGGACAAGGACCAGGGCACAGAGGCCAGTGGGCCCCTCCCCAGCCCTTGCCCTCTGACCCTGCCTGCCAAAACTGACTGCCACTTATAGCTAACAACATACAGGAAGGATTTTCAAAAGGCCTGAAGTACTTTTCTGTCTCCTGGTCCGACAGAAAAAAATGTCCCTATTTTTGGCCAATCTAGCCTTCACTATTCTTTAAAATACATAATTAGCCTAAAATTTGTTTACTGAAGAGGGCTAGAAAGTTAACAGATATTTACAAAATTTACTTGGAGAAGGAAAAAAATAATAGAATTGTATAAGTGAAAATTTAAACTTTCAATAGTGCAGCTTCCTAGGTGGAAGGAGATTTGTTACCAGTTGCAGAAAAAGCATAAATTAAAAACTACAAAAGTATGGTAGGGAACGAGGCCAAGATTATGAGAAAAAGCTTAGGGAAGACTTGTTCCATCAACCGAAGGCCAGGAGAACGAATGTGACTCAGGAAGCTAACTTGCAGTGTGATGCCTGGAAACTCAAAGCGCCATCTGGATTTTGCAGTTTGAAGCACGTTGTCTCACGACCTGTTCTCATGTAACTCGTCAAGAACATGCATCGCCGTGGAGTGGCAGAAAATGTTTAGAGCTCAGAGTACATAGCTATGCATATGAACCATATTTTACTGTGACCAGTAAATTCCTACTTTCGGAACATTTAAATTATTTCACTTTGTTCTTATGAGGTATGAGGGAGGTTAAGCTGTCTAGAAGCTTACTGGAAATTTAAAATCTAGAAGAAGAATTCTAGAAATAATAGAAAATAGGAAAAATTACTAAAACTGCACAGATTATTAAAAGGCTGTGTAAAGTCACCCCGAAGGCAGAAAGTATGCCAGTTCTAGTATGTCTGCACTGGACATTTCCTCCGGTGCCAGGGTCACCGGGGCAGGCGGTCAGTACACCCCAATGAGGCGCATGGCACAGTGAGCTGAGGGTGTAGTTATGCAGCAGGAAGTGACAGGGGCAGGTGAGGTCCAACTCCTGACAGGTGCACACACAAACCAGCTGTCTCCAAGGACCTGCCCCAGTAAGATAACCTGGCTCTGGTGCTTCCTGAGCAGGGAGAGGGGCTCTTTCTGCGGAGGGCTTTGGGACAGTGAAAATAATACTCACCAGCCCCCTGAAATCTACTTAGAGTCGTACCATGACATTTAGATAACAGTACCTTGTAATCACTGTAACATTTTAAATCTGTTTCAGTCTCTCAGAAAGAAGTAATCTGTCCCCTCATTTTTCAAAAAGTTTCTTTTGGGGGGTGGCATCTGATGCTGGATCACAGTTTGAGTCCAACCTGAGCAATTTAGTGACTTAGTGAGAACCTGTCTCAAAATAAAAAATAAGAAAGAGCTGGGGATGTAGCTCAGTGTGAGAGCCCTGGGTTCAATCCTCAGTATTGGGAAGAAAAAAGTGCTATTAAACTATATTAAACTATCACCTACTAAGTTATCTACACATGGTATGGGTATTACCATTTTTTTTTTTTTTTTTTTTTAGACAGGGTCTCACTTTGTAGCCCAAGGTGGCCTCAAACTGTTAGTGGTCCTCCTGCCTCAGCCTCTTGTGTGCTGGGATTACTGGTGTGTGCCACCACGCCCGGCTGGGTATTACCCTTTCACTATCAGAAGTTAGGAGCCACATCAGGTCCTTTGAGTAGATGAGATATTTTACATTATCCTCCATTATATATACACATAATATTTACTGGAAAAAAATGTTCATGTGCTTAGTCAATATTTTACAATAACACAGACCCCAGGTCACAAATGCCGAAGTCCCTTCTTCCTGAGAAGCTTCTGCAAAGAGAAAGGACCAAAGGTGGGATTTTTGGCTTTAAGCAGAAACTGCCCAGCTTCTTCTGTAAAGAGCCAGGAGGTGAAACAGTTAGGCTTGGTAAAGGTAAACCAAATGCAAAACAACCCTGCTCTTTGCCCTTCAGCTTGGCCGAAGTTTTTTGTTTTTTGTTTTGTGGTTTTTTGAGGCAGGGTCTCACTATGTAGTTGAGACTGACCTGGAACTCACTATGTAGCCCAGGCTGGTCTCGAACTCACAGCGATCCTCCTGCCTCAGCCTCCCAAGTGCTGGGATTACAGGCATGCGCCACTATGCCCGGCTTGGCCGAAGTTTTAAAGAAAGATAACAAGCCATCTTTGATGGGCTCACATCTCCCCAGACTTGGACACTTCCCCAGCAGCGCTGACTAAAAATGAACATGAGAGCTGGGAGCACAGGGCCCTGAGTTCGATCCCTGGGACCAAGAAAAAAATGCACATATGTACAGTGCAAGGCCCCCAACTGCCACAGCTGCCTGTGCCCTACTGAAATGTGCCGTTCTGAAGGCCTCGTGTTATGACCTCAAAGGACCCCGCAGTACCACAAGTGAGAAGAACAAAAATGTAACAGGCACAATATGACCTATTAAACACACACACACACAATAAAATAATCCCATAGGCTCCCTTATGTTTTCTTTCATAAAGGAAACCTAAGAACAACTCACCCGATTCACTGGCACAAGTCGTGTTGAGAGCTGACAGTGACAGGTAGCGGGTAGGAGAGAGGACGCTACTGATTTTACTTTAGAAAGTTCTGAACTGCTAAACAAAATTATCATTTTGTTTTCTCAAATTACCAAAATTAACAGTTAAATGAGAAATCCAGTGGTTAAAAACAGGATTTCTCTTCCAGATCCCTTTATGTTTTTAAGGACGATGACAGTGACCGTGGTAGTGTCGATTGGCACTGATCTGATGCCCAAGCGCGCCCGTGTGTCAGCGAACAGTCAGGACGTCAGCGCCCACGCTACCCTCGGCACCACTGCTTCTGGGCGGACAGAGCCCCGGTTTCCGTGGGGACCGCGGGGTCAGAGCCGGACAGCACCGAGCACCAGAGCTGCACAGTAGCAGCAGCAGCCAGGGAAGGCGGTGCGAGGCAAGGGCTGGATCCGGAGCCATCACTGAAGGGGACACCAAGCGCACCGGCCAGGCGCACGGGGCAGGGTGAGACCTCGCTGGCGGAAAGACGGGAAACACGGGGAGGGGGCCAGCGGCCGGGCCCAGCTTTCCGTTACTGGGCGGGGAAATCACGGCTTGCCTAGGAAATTCACTCGTAAAAAGTTAAACCTTTGCGCTTCCGCGCAGATCAGGGGCAAGGGAAGCAGTTATCTCAAGCAACTTTTAAAGTCGTTGTGTGTCTATTTCATCGACTAGGCAGCGACAGCCTAATCACTATCCAAAGCAGGTTGGTTTCAGCTCACTGACGGAAGCAGTGACGCCGGGTCCAACTCACCGAGATGCAGATTCGCATATGATTCCGGGCCTGCTATTTGATGCAGGCGTGATCGCGTTCCCTTTCCTTCTGTTGAGCTAAACGCTGGCGTTGTATTTTCGCTCCTCAGTGGATCACCCCAAGCTCCCGCGCTCCGCTCCGCTCATCACTGGAGATTTCTGTATAACCCTCACTGCCCAGCCTCACGTGGTCCGAACTGCGGCTCTCATTTCTACTGCGCATGTGTTAACCGCTGCCTCACACAGACCCTCGCCCCCAATCGCCCTCGAGATCCTCTTTATCCTCCCCGGCGGCCTCACCTCGCCTCTGGAGCCCATGTGTAGTGTGTATCTCCAGGGCGGGTTTCCAGGTGGCCCACGCGCGGGCTGTTAACTGAGCCAACCGCCCTGAGCGCAGACTGGGATTTTGCAGTGCCAGGGCTGCATGTGTGCACGCGACCTGCGCAGGGCCTCTGCAAATGAGAGCTCAGGGCACCAGAACCACAGCGAGTCACGGCTGCGCACGGGAAGTGCAGCGGGAGAGCTGTCCTTTTCTGGCAAGGCTGGGACTTTGAGAATCTTTATAGAAGCTGCACCCTTTTTCATGTCCTTCCCACTGTGATTCACTCGGCCACATTCAAAGGGCAAAGGCAAAGATCTCACACAAAGACAAAACACTCTGCCCATAGGGAGCCGGGCTGTACTCACGCTGGCCATGGTGGAGGACTTCTTCCTCTCGGGGCCCGCGAGGGGGCTGGCCGTCACCTCGCTCTTGGAGCCGACCGTGATGCTGCCCAGCTTCCGGGCCACGTCTGTGTCCCACTCCTCCCGCTGCTCGCTCTCCACGCTGTTGGCCTGGGGCCTCTTGGTGTAGGACACGGCAGTGGGGATGGACGGGCCGGCTAGAATCAGATGACAGCACAGGGAGCTGAACAATCAAGGACGCGCTTTCTGCTACTACCAGAGGGGTCTGTTTGCCCACTTCTGCTCTGCCCTAAGGTCCCATGGTCTGATTACAGAAGTCAGCTCAGCCCTGCAAGCGGGACAGGTCTGTCCGCGGCCCTGGAGAGGTGGGGTCGGCCTGGACTGGGCAGACCCGCCCGGTGCCCACCGTGATCGCTGAAGCGCCGCTGCTTCTGATTGGCAGAGATGCTCCGCTGGACTTTCAGGTGCGCGGGGGACTGCAGGGTGCTGTTGTTGAGGTCACTGCTGGGCCGGGACCTCTGACTCAGGCTCCCGCTGGACAGCGCCTCTCCGCCTTCAAACTGCAGAAGACCAGGTTTTAAAACAGAAACACCAGCGCACCAGCAAAACGCACTCCTGACTTTCTAAACTCAAAACTGCATGAAATAGCCAGCTCTAAAAGCCAGGTGGCTTTAAGTTGAGGACTTCAAGAGCGGCCTGGGCAGAAGAAGCAGCACACCTGTCACTTTCTGCTGCTTTGTATAAACCCTCAGCTCCGTTAATACACCAGATAAGAGCTGCAGCAGGAGTTGGGCCAAGCTTTTTCTATACGTCACTTCACTTAATCTTTGCAACAAAGCTGCAGTGTATTACCCTGCACCTCAAAGATGGGAAGACTGCGGTTAAGAATCAAGGGGCACTGCTGGGATTCAAACTTAGGATGAAATCTAACATTTTAAACACATCCGTGTGGATGTGGTGTGGGTGCATGTGCACATAAAACACTATTAAAATATCTATATTTCCATGCTTTACACTTTGACCTGGATTAAACTATTTTGTTGGGTTTTCTTCACATTTACAAAACAAATTTAGGCTGACTGGCTCTGACCGGGAAATGGCATCTATTTCAAACTAAGTATGGTCAACCAGAGAGAGGGTGATACGCCACCCTCTCTGCTACATGACAGTCACCAAGGGCCAGGAGGAGGCGGCATTGCTGGAGGTCATGGAGTCTGAGAGCAGCCAGCACAGAACACAGCCACCTGCCAGCAACCGCCCTACGGACCTTACAAGCCCTCAATAACCCTAGGAGATAAGCACTGTGGTGTCCTCATTTTTGCAGATGGGTAAACCGAGGCACAAAAAGTTAAGGAAGTTGCCCAAGTCACAGGCTCAGTGGCTGTGCTGGGGCGAGCAGGGGCAAGGAACCTGGTCACAAGGTTCGGGCTCTTACTGACCACGGGGGCTTCATTGGCTTAAACTCAATACAACCACGTCTGTGCTGAGTTTTCTTACAAAACCAGTACTTCCTCTGTCTTTAATAAGAAAAGTAAAGGTATCAGGAGTGAAACTCAGTAAATGCGAGCAGAAACAGTTAAAAGCTGTGCTCTTCTCCTGACTTGGCTTCTTCAGTGCTACCTCTGGAGCCATCAGCGTCCCCAAGGGTCCTCTCTTCCCCTCTGATGGTGCTTCTGGCGGTCCCTGGGAGGACCGTGGGTTAGTGAGGCCTTGGTGCGGCCCTCAGAGGGGCCCCCAGACACGACTGTGCTTCGCGGGGGGCTCAGCATCTCTTAGGCCCATTCCCCTCTCTCCCGCGAGTCCCGATCTTGACACCACACACTCATTACTCTGCTTCCAGCTCACCGGTGCAGGCTGAGCTCTGTCTCCCCGACAATGGGAGGGGCGCGGGGCCCTCACCCAGATGGGGCCCCAGGACCTCAGCCTCACATCTTGGGGTCATGCAGGATCCCCAGGGTATGGCAGGGCTTGTCCCTCGGCTGGCTCCCAGAGCGTCCTCATGACCCCCTGCACCTGGCTGGGGGCAGCTCGGCTCCAAGCAAGGTGTCTGCGGGACCCGCTTTCCAGTCTCTCCGTCCCAGACCCAACACGATTTCCAGTAACACCGGCGGGGATGAGCTGCTTCTCGCAAGCTGCTGTTTAACTGTAGTCAGGCTTTTCCACCGAAGTGAAACAGACAGTGCCCGGCCTCCGTGCCACTCTCCATTTATACCGCTGCTTTCCCAAAGTCCCCTGTACACCTCGGGATCACCACTTGTCCCCAGGGGGCCCCACGGTGGCTCCGCTGCCCCGGAGCTCACCAAGCCGTCCAATACCCTACAAGGCAAAGCACAGCCAGGCCACTCTCCCTGTTCCTGCCATGGGAATCGCGCCACTCACTGTCTGGACGCTGCCTCTGCCTTGGCTTCAGTCACTTCGGCAGCAGTGTTGCAGGTGGGCAGGGCAGCCACGCTCAGGGGCACGCGCCGTGCACTGCCCACCTCCTCGTCTGAAGACGAGGTTGGGAAGTTGCCTCTTGGGGCCGGGCAGGACAGTGACCTGCCCTTTCACACATCTCCCTTGGTACGTGAGACGACATCTGTCTACAACACAGCACCTTGAGTTCAGAATTCCGATAGGTAAGAATATTTGGACCCTTCGTTACGTTTGACAAAGGACAGAACGTATTTAAGCAGAATATATTTACTTAGCTGTCACCCCACTCTAGGAAGACTTCACATTGACGGAAAAAGGTGAACAACTTACTTCAGGAGGTTTTCTACCTAGAAGGATGTAAGTAGCCATAACTTCATCGTATTTCTGATTTATTAAGGCATCATTTATTTCGTCTCGTGCAAAGCCCATGGTGACCATAACATCTAGGAAAAAACGGAAATTTTCTCAAAATGGGTTTATTTTAGTGAACAAATCAGCAAAAATGGGCAAATTTGCCTATACCGGATATGAAAATTTAGTCTTAAAACTTTAAAGTGTAGTCTTCACGATTCAGCCCACACAGTACGTGTCCTGGATTAACCCACACACACTGAATGTCACAGATAATCACAGAATTACCTACATCAGGACCCATCAGTTTCTCATTGCCTCAAACACTGCTCCACTGACTTCCTTTGTCCCTCCAAGGCCATGTTTGCCTGGGGCACACGGCCCTCTCTGCGTCCTGTCTCTCCCTCTCCACGTACCCTCGCTGTCACGCAGGCTCTCTCCTCCCTTCCCCACGCCCGCTCCCCTCTGGTCTCCGGCAGACTGAGGCCCCTCTGGAAGACTGCAGCTCCATGCCTGACCCTTGGGCAGGTCCCTTCCAGCTGGGTGGGAGGAGCTTGGGTCAGGCAGAGGGACAGAGAAGGAGATGGGCAGAGGGCCTGGCTCAGGGCAGTGGGCCTGGGAGGATGCACGGCGCTAGAACATGGGAGAGTCCAAGCACTCAGCCCCTGCAGCTCAGGACTCCTGAGCTCTTGGTAAAGATGCATCTCGTGTTTGCAGATGCTCATCGGTCTGAGCAATGCTGAGTCACAGGAGTCCTAACTCTGGGGAGGGCTGCGGACAGCAGAGAATCTGGCACAAGACAGAGAGCCGTGAAAGGGACGGATGATGGACAATCAGGAAAGCGCGTGGAAAGGGAGAAAAGGGAAAATTTCAGTGTTTAATATTTATCGTTAAACTGATAATGCAAATCTTTATCAAATAAAAGCTGCTTCCTCTTCTGTTTTAAAACACTGCTTGGGTAGCCTAAAGAACTCACTTGTAGCCTGTGGTGGCACCCTGCCAACGTATGTACTCACCTATTCTCTTTGTATCATTGAAGTCCGGTTCAGGCTCAGTGTATGGCTTTAGTTCTTCTTCTTCATGACCTACATTCATCCACCGGTCTTTCATTATTTGCTAGGAAATAAAATCTATGTCATGCTTGGTCAGTCACAACATTCAACCACCTATTAACTCCAGACCAGCAGCGGGGAAACTTTCAGAGCTTTCAATGACACAGACAGCCTGCTGTGGCATGTGAGCACCTGTGGGTACATCGGCTCCCTCAGTACGTGCCACACAGCGCTTTCAGATAAAGGGTCTGCAGCAGCACAGCCACAGGCGTAGGACTTGGGGACACAGTATCCTGAGACATCTGTGCCTCCAACGCACGCCCTCACCAAATGTTCTGACTCAAAGAAGGTTCCCCCACCTTGGTTTAAAAGGAATACTCTCAAAGGTGAAAGATTTAACATAGAACATACTGATTTTAACCTTAGTTGCATATTTTAACAGCTAAGATTAATGAAAAGGTTCTATTTTTTTCTTGTTTTTCAACCAAATACATGCATGTATTAAAAAATCAGCACTTATTAAAATATTAGGAAAGAAGAGATTATGAGGAGTGGAAATCAGTAAACGTAACTCAGAGAATATGGGAAAGGAAGACAGTTTAAAAATTAAGACTAGAGTGGGGTGGGAATGGCGTTGATGTGAATTGCCAGAGACAGGGCTAAGCCGAGGCTGTGGAACAACAGGGAAGGCTGGGCTGACACCCTAAGACAGCCCAGTGGGGTGAACTAGGAGACAGGAAAATACACTTGCACCTATTAGGGTCAATATCCAGAATATGCAAAGAACTCCTACAACCAAGTAACATCAAGATTAATAACCTGATTTTAAAATGAGCAAAAGAAGTCAACAGACATTTCTCCAGAGAAGATACAACAATGGCACGCAACAGTACACAAAAAGATGCTTACACAAAATCCTCACCATCAGGGAAAACCACAACCACAATGGATACCATCTCCTACCCATTAGGGTGGCCACTACAAAAACACTCTAAAGAACGAGGAACCGCAGGATGAGGACGGATCAGAGCCCCTGTTCAGTGCTGAGGACAATGTGAGATGGTGTGGCTGTGAGATGGTGTGGCTTTCCTGGAGAACAGTATGAAGTTTCCTCAGAAAACTGACAGAAGTACCACATCAACCAGGAACCCCACTGCTGGGTATTCATTCAAAAGAACTAGAAACAGGAGATGCAAGAGAAATCTGCACGCCCGTCCTCACTGCAGCATCCTTCACCAGCGCCAAGAGGCAAAAGCAGCCTAAGTGCCCACCGACAGATGAATGGGTAAAGAAACACGTCCACCCTTACGCAGGAAATTCCGCCCCACCCCGGAGGAACCCTGAGGACTCTCCGCCGAGAAAAAGGAGCCAACCTCAGAAAGGCAAGTGCTGCAAAAGGCACCTCTATAAGGGCTCTCAAGCTGGCACAGAAATGTAAAGCGGGAAGGTGGTGGAGGGAGGCAGAGGGGAGGAGGATGGGGAGCTGTTTAATGGGTCCAGGGTCTCATCCCAAGACGAGCAATTCAGGAGAGCTAGCGTACAACAGCGTGTGCAGTGACCGCACAACACACACTCAGAAACCGTGAAGAGGGTAAGTGTGTGTTAGGGCAACCTAGTCAGGACATCGGCAAAGTCACAGACAACGGAGGGCTGGCACCCATGGATAAAGCTAGTGTGCGTGACAGAGGTCCTGAGCTTTCACACTGAAAGAGAAGCACATGGAATTTGAAGAATTCTGTATCAATTACAAATCTAACTGCATTTCTGCAGAATTCCACATGCCACGCAATGTTTTTCTGTCCTCCTCTGTGCCCTCAGTCTGTCCGGTGACAGCCCACGAGGCGTCAGGAACGAGTGCTGCAGAGTGATTTTGTTGCCGTTGGTAGAATTCTGTAGGGTGGAAGATGCGTACAGTCTTCCTCCTTTACCTGTGGTCAAACACGTGAAGCAGGAAACGGTGGGGGATTCCCAGACAGGACTCAAACACGGAGTTAGGAGTAAATCGGCTTTCAGTGCCGGGGGCTCAGAGAGCGGCTCCTGTCAGTCTCAAGAGCACTGAACAGGAGTCTGTTCTTTCTCTTCCTCTTTTTGCATCTACGAGGCTTAACTTCAATGGACTTTTCTTGGGAATAAAGCAAGCAGGATTTCCACAAAGCGGAGTGGCGGTGGTGGGGCTCTGGCAGGACTTTCTGAGTCCGTTACGCTCCCTTGGCGCCAGATTACAAAAGCTGCTCAGCGCATTCTACAGAGCACCGTCACCCAGCTAACCCAATTCCATGCAGCGTGGTTTCCTGTCTCATCTAGTCTGAACACTAGGTGGGAAATTCCAGGGTTAATAACTCCTAGGCTTCCAAGTGCCCGCCAGGCTGGAGTTTATTACCACCAGCACTGCCATACCGTCACAGTCAGCCTGATGACCCAGACAGCGGCCAAGCGACTCGCAGATGGGCATTGTGTGCAAAGCAGACACGCGGACTCCCCACCAGGACAGAATGGGCCCAGAGCGTCCGCTGGGATTCACTCCACAGAGCTCCGGGGGCTCGGCAGTGAGGGTAGAGGCCCCCGGTGCTGCCTCCCTCCGGCCCTGCCACCCGCCTGGCTCCCTCACCACGAAGGCGCTGTCTAGAAGGCACCACTGCAGGACATGTGAGGAGAATATGACAAGATACCCCAGAGACAGGAAGACAGATCCCACTCCCGCAACACCTTTTCCAGTTCACTATCACTTGTATTTTATTGTCGGTCACCGTTCATCTCTCACAGGACATGGTTTACAGATTTAACTTCACCGTGGGTTTGCACGTACAGGAAAAACATACCCCTTGGATGTTTTCCCTGAGGATCAGGAGTGCTGACTGTACCTGAAAACACAGCTACCCGCCTAAGGGTCACTGCTGAGGACACCGCAGCCCTCCTGCACCCGGGGCTCTGACGACACGTGCGGAATGAAACATGGTTGAAAAACCCTCCCGCGCATCACCCCCAGGAGTGTGACTGCTCCTTCATCAACATACTGCTCATGTGTTTTCTTATCACTGTGACGAAAGACAGGGCGGATGACAAACATGAGCTGGACAGAAAATTTCCAAGTTTTTCAAATCCACTCAAATTAGTCCTTGGTGCCATTCTCGAGGATAAGATTACAATGCTATGAGTACGAAAACAATAACCTCCAAGTGCGAGTGAGATTCTATGTGAAAACTGGTCAGGAAGCGAAAGAAACGTTTAGCAACAAAAGAAGGACTGGAAAGGGGGTAAAAGAACTGCGGCTCCAGGGCGAGGAGGGAGAGCCGGGGTACAGGAGGCCCACAGGTGGGCAGGACAGCCTGGGCGGCACATTCAGCCTGGGAGCTTCCTGAGACAGGAAGTAGGCAGGTGAGGCGGAACCACCGTTTCCTCCCAGAGAAGGGCTGTCTCAAAGGTGTGATTTTGAAAAAAGTCTCTCTTGCCACTGTGGACAGAATATCGGAGGGCTCAAGACTAAAGGATAGGAAGTAAACTGAAGGGCATTTTAGCTGTAATCTAATAATGACACTGAGTTAAAGGCAGGCAGCAGAAACATGTAAAGAAAGATGCTTTAATGATCTGGCAGGTAAAAATTAACAAAACATTGTGACTGGGTACAGGCAGAGAGGTAGAAAGGAGAAATGGAAGACGACATGCTGGTTTCTGGGTCAGACCAACAAGTGGGCTTGGTGCCCACTGTTCCTGGGAGAGAACACGCTGGGCAGGACTCTTGAGCCCTGGAAACAGCTGAGCCTGAGCCACTGTGGGATATGCAGGCAGATGGCTCTGCAAACTGGTCTGCAGCTCAGGACCTGGCCGGCTCCGAGCAGAGCAGCGTTTGTGAATCACTGCCTTCCAGCTGACGAAGGGAGATGGTGTGGGACAGACTCTTGGGGAAGAAGGAACAGAATTAGGAGCCCCAGAGGGGGTCAGGGAGGGCCTCAAGGACACCAACAGCACTGGACCGGGGGCGGCAATGGGGAGGAGACCAGTGTGGAGAAGGCAGAGGCTGGCTGGAAAGGAGCCGCGGGAGGGAGGGAGGGACTGCGGCGGAGGAGGCTGGGACAGTACGGCAGGTCGCAGAATAAGCCGTCCCCACCAACACGGGGCAGCCCAGGGAGCCCACTGTACCAGGGACTCGGGAGGCCAAGGAAGGGGACAGCCAGGAGACTGCAGGACCAGCGCTTCCCGTCTTCTCAGCACAGGGAAGACAAGCTTGTTGCCTAGAAAGCTTCCCTCTGTTTTTTCCACCTGAGTTCTTTTTAATCTTTGAATGACCACGTAAAATCCAGGCCCCTTCTTTTGCTCTCTTTGATCACAGCCTGATCTTTGCTTACAGTTTAATGCAGCCTGTCATTACACGAGCCTGTTGCGTTTACCTGTTAATTATCCATCTCCATCCTTAGACTAAAAGTCATGGGAGAATGACCCATGCTTGCTGTGCTCAGTCTTGTGTCCAGCACCTCAGAGCACGCAGCACTTAAATGCTCGACACACGTCTGCAGAGTAAGCGTACAAGCCGTGTGTGAATCACGCAGGCCCCCTTGGTGTACCCCAGGGAACCCGGCTATGTCCTACGCTGCTCTGGTCACCGCGAGTGGCACAGACTGACCGCTTCGGCTACCTCCAGTGGAGGCCACAGACTGCCGTGGGCCACCTTCTGCAGCACAAGTGACTGCTGGTTTTCCCTGCAGGATCCAGGGTGAGACAGGACCAGAAGCCTCAGCTGTGAGCGGCTTCGGAGGGACCGGTGGACAGGAGGAAATGAATCGAGCACGAGTCACAGCACCTGACGACAGGACTTGTTTCAGCACTGAAGACAAGGATGAGATTTTAAACTCAGGGCCCTGGCAAGATGCGGTTTCTATGATTAAGTAAGAGATACAGAAGCATACAGACTGGAGTGGAATATAAGCAATAAAAAGGAAAGTGAAGATAACCCAAATTTTCTGACGTTTCTCAATTAAACTGTGTTTTCTTGGTGTTCACATCACATCCACGTGTCCACGTCAGGAAAATATGCACGAACCGGCATATTTTACACACAGATCGTCTATACTGTGATATGTCGCACATACGTGGGCTGACAGGTGACGGGTCTTACCTGCGAAATGAGATTTACTCATGAAACCTAAACATATTTGAATACACAACACTCAACTATTTGAAGTGGTGCTCTTAGGAGGAGTATTAACAAAGAAAGACAAAACTGCCAGGTGTGGCGGTGCACACCTATAATCCCAGCACTCGGGAGGCTGAGTCAGGAGGATCACAGTGAGTTCGGGACCAGCCTGGGCTACATAGTGAGTTCCAGGTCAGTCTCAACTATGTAGTGAGACCCTGTCTCAAAAAAAAAAAGAAAGAAAGACAAAATGGACCAATCTGCAGCATGGACTGGGCTTTCCTGGGCTGGGGACACTGGGGCAGGAGGAGAACTGACACTGGAGAAAGAAAGCTGTGGCTTGGGGCAGAGGTAACAGCGTTTCAGACGATCACCTGAAGTGTGATCTGAGGGTGATGGAAACATCTACATGGTATCGGCAAGGAAGGGAACAGCGCTTTAGAAGTAGAACCGGAGAAGAGCAGGCAGACACTCACAGAAGGAACAACTCCCTGCGGGCCTCACACGAGCAGCTTGAGGCCAGGCCTGAGAGGCAGCACCGGTAACCCTACACCAGCGGGGGTTAGGCAGAGTGGGAAGGACTAGGCCAACCAGCGACTCTAGGCATAAAACCAGCTGAATAAACCAATTCACTTCAGACCCCTCTCTCAGCATCTTGTGAGAAACAGGGACAGACAAAGCCCGGTCTCAGAAGAGGAAGTCAGGAGCATGTGCAGCCCAGACCGACTGACAGAGTAAGACTCGCAAGACACTCGCTTCAGGTGAAGCATACAGAAGTAGTCGATTTAATTACAGGAAATACACAACCTAGACCTAGGCGCACATTTAAAAATTCAGGCATTTAGGATGGCCGGATGAAAATAATTTTACTGAAATGCTTTTCAAGCTTTATAAAGCATTTCATATACTTCTGAAGTTGTACTTAAGTGTTTTTCTTCTTTAAAAAACGTCATTATGAATGTACCGATCCTTTGACTTGCTATCAATTTTACTGTAAAGCACAAACACAATTTTAAAGATTATCTTAGGAGCAGCTGAAAAATTAGGTGTTAAAATTCAAAATATAGGGCCAGGATTTAGCTCAGTGGTTCCACTGACTGACTCTCAAGCGCAAGGTCCTGAGTTCGATCCCTGTTACCAAAAAAAAAAAAGTCAAAATAAATTAAACACTTTTGGGGCAAGGCCCTAGGTGACCGAGGATCACAAGAGGAGCTTCACCTCAGGCTCAAGCTGTGCATTATTTTGAGGAGAAACGTAGCCCCTCTTCACTAGGAACTAAAATAACGAGGGGCTAGGGAGGCAGGTGAGAGTTGGGGTGCCTGCCTTGCAGGCATGAGGCCCTGGTTCAACCCCTGGCCCAGCCTTGGTAAAGAAAGAAACAAACTGGAAAAATGAAAACATGCTCAAAGAGGAAAAGTAGCAAAGCCTTTCAGTTTTTTTTCCCATAAAAAATTCTAGACATGCTAACAGTTCAATAAATGAGGGGAAATCCCAGTACACCACAAAAACCCCTGTATGCACACGCTATCGGGGCAGCGAGGAGTGACAGCACCCACGCTGCACCCCGGAGGGCTCGTGGGAATGGCGGGGCCTCGCCCGTGCCAGCCTTGGTACTGTACACCTGCAACGCCTGCTACCTTCCCATGTGAGCCCACGGTTTAGGGCTGAGAAACTTCATCCTGAAAGTTGGAACGGGAGGGCTGCACTGACACACGTCAGCTTGAGCTCATGAGGCACAAATGTCTTCACAGCAGCGACTGACTTGTGACTTCCCCTCAAAGGATCCAGTTCATTTGTACTCAGCCCTTCAATGTGAAGGATGGAAGATGAAATATTTGGCTCCCGAAAATTAGTCATCTTTCAGACAGAAGCACACCTTACCCGCTCACAGGCATTTGTAAGGTCTGTTCTCCCAAAGTAACTTTTACATGTTCTGTGTTCACTACTTGTTAGTGGAGCTGCTGTTTCTATTCTAGACGTTCGTTACCTGACCATCAGGTAAAGCGTTCCTACAGTAAAAGTGGGGCACAGAGCCGGGACACAAGAGATCTATCTATTCTCTAAGGCTTTTGGATCCTCAGTTTCTAGAATATCTTCTCTTTTCTTAATAATTCACATTCTTTACTTCCCCAAACAATTCGTTTTAAACACCATTCATAGAAGATAAACTTGAAAAGATCAAGCAAGAAGTGGCGAGGGTAGGGCTCGAACCAAGGCCTGACTGGGCACCTGCCCAGGGACCAGGCCCCCTCCTCGTATGCTGGTCCAACAGATGAAGGTGGGAAGGTGAACATCAATACGCATGTGTCTGCTGCCTGGACATTTTAGCTGAGTTAAAGCTCAAACTGAATCCAGCATGTCTCACCAAATCATTACCATGAAGTATACTTTCATATATGTTATGTGTTGCAGCTTTAATGTCGGCCCCCCACTCCTGCTCCCGGGGATCAAACTGAGGACCTTGCACTTGCCAGGCAGGCGTGGCGCAATTGAGGTACATCCCCTCCCGCCTTATCTTTAATGTAGTTTTTAAAAAGAAAACCCTTCAAGTATATTTTCACTTATAACATTAAAGGTGTATTTTTATCCTACCATCAAGCATTATTGATTGCCTACTATTATGCTGATAGTATTGTACTTATTCTGTAGCAAGAATATTAGAAGTTGATTTTCTCTTTTACAAGTTAGAGGAATACAATAAGAAAGGAAATCTTTTTTTTTCAAAGATAAAAAGAAAACCATTTTATATGCTATTAAAATTTCTCCCCGCTCCTGGAATATCTTAATCGTTAAACTTTAACTCTAGAACACCGCGGAAAGAAGAAAATCACTCACTTCCAAGCTGCCTCTCTTGACTGGGTTCAGCACCAGCAGCTTCTTGAGCAGGTTCTCGCAGTCGGTGGACATGTAGAAGGGGACGCGGTATTTGCCCCGCAGGACTCGCTCCCGCAGTTCCTTGACAAAGCACACGACAGCACTTACTCCTGCGCTGGCTCCCGAGGCCGGCGCGTCTGGGGTGACCGCACGCACATCCCACTGAGCGGTACCTTCAGGTTCTGGCCGTCAAAGGGCAAGGAGCCACTGACCAGCGTGTAGAGAATGACGCCGAGACTCCACACGTCCACCTCGGGCCCGTCGTACTTCTTCCCTTGGAAGAGCTCGGGGGCGGCGTAGGGGGGGCTTCCACAAAATGTGTCCAATTTGTTCCCCACTGTGAACTCGTTACTAAAACCAAAGTCAGCAATTTTAATATTCATATCAGCATCAAGGAGAAGGTTTTCAGCCTGAGAGGAAAATAATGAAAAGGACAATGTAAAAAGCATACATAAAGCAATCTTTGTTTGCACTTGTTCCACATTTTGTCTCTTGTTTTAAAAGGAGCATCGAGTTTAGAAGTCCACCCTGCTACTTCAGCATGTAACTGCTCAACATGACGTCTGTGTGAGGCGGAATTTCACACACACACACACAATTGTCACGACGGTCACTGAAAACCTGCTTTCCTCCGCAGTCCGCCTGAACCTCCTCTCTCCCTTCATGGTAAGACACATCTAGAACTACTCCTCAGCAGGGCCTAGTCTACAGAATCCAAGTCCACACAATCGTCTTCTACCTCGATGTGAGCCACACTTGTCCAGAGGGAGCTAACGGCCTCAGCGGATCTTCTGCCAGGTCCCCCTCTCCTGCGTCCTCCGTCCCCAACAGAGGACTGCGTATGCCAAAGTGTGGAACGATACAGCCTCTCCGTCAGACGTGTCTGTTTCCACCTCCTTTTGCTGTACTGAACCTAGTTCTCTCCTGGAGATACGCTACATAGACAGCAGGGAGTTTGCCCCCGTATCTGGAGAGGCTGGTTTTCTAATATCCTAAAATAGAATCGTCCAAGGACAAGATCTTAAACCCATCTTCTGTAAGTGTGAGCAGTTACACAGTTGTGCTTCTAGCTCTGTTTCAACTGATGAAGAGACTACAAAAGTCCCAGGCCACTTCGGAGAGGTGCAGGTACCAACCAGGAGTACCTCTTGACCAAAATGGAAATCATCATACACCCTCTGTTCTGAAGCACGCTGGTTTATATCAGTCACATACATTTAATGTTCACAAACACAGTGAAAAGCTTTCCCTACTGTGAGCTCCAAGGTGGAGAATGGATGCTGGCCCTTCCACCTGGCTGGCGTGGATTTGCGCCTTGATCTTGCTTCTGTCTGAATGAGACCTCGCACATTTTTATTTGGGGATAGAATTCCACCTTCTTCTATTTAAAACAAGTTAAGCAATGGTGACTCAAGCCCTGACTGACTTCTCCCCATGGTGTCTTCATTCTCTCGGTGGGGGTGGTGTTTTGTAAAGTTACTGTGAGAATCACATAAAAACCACTTGTCTCCAACAGGTTAGGTGACCAAACAAAGACTTTACCATGGAACATACATCATCGAGCTTTTCTATCAACACAGCAATTACCTTAAGGTCACGGTGAACAATGCATTTTTGATGGCAATACTGCACAGCAGACACAATCTGGAATAAATATTTGGATAAAAGAGTCTAAGTTATTTTAAAGTAAAAACACTGATTTTCCCATAACCATCAACTCCAATTTAGATAAATTCCTAATTTGAATTTCAGAGTAATTTTTAGTAATTTCATTTTTTCTTTAGTTCAGTAAACTGTGCCTATTCAGGAGGAAACTTTTCTCTTAAATGTAGAAACTGTGGGAAAGTGACCCTGAAACACACCAAGATGTTTCCTCGTCAGTCTGTGTAGATTTGTGTGGATCATTACGAGGGTGGGTGATATGTAGTTTTGGTCCACGGTACATTGTGATGTTGGAGTAACTGCTTTGGTGCAGGTGAATTAGCACTTCAGGATAATGGCTAGATTTTAAAAAGCAAAGCTGTACCCTCAGGATTATATCAGCTGTGTTCAAGGCAAGTGTTCTCAACTCAGTAAGGGGAATATAGCAGCGTCTTATATGCTCAAATACAGACAAACAGGAAATATTTTGAATCTTAAAAACACCCAATCATCAAAAGAAAAATGGGAAAAAAGAAATTTAATCTTTGTCATTAATGGAGCCAGGCAAAGAATTCTATACCTGTACCTACATCCTGCACGTAGCCATAACTTTTAACCATTGCATCGTGCTCTTTGGGGACAAGGGCTAAACAGCAAGGCATTCAACAGTTTAAAGGCCAAGATACGAATGGGAAATAGATTATTAAATATCTAATAGTTCTTTATTCAACACAAAAGTGGCAAGAACCTGACTGCAACGGATAAAGTGCTCCTCTACATTACAGACTAGAGCTGACAGGATGGGGCGACAACTCGAATACACAACATTCAGTTCTGTGGACTCAGCTAAAGGTAAAACCAGGTGGACTGCTGCAGGCTGGTTAGTTATTTACAGATGGAGACCGAAGTGAGGTTTTTACAAGATTAAAGGTGAGGTACAGTATGACCATGCTAAGGGGAACATGGGAGCAAGAAAACTTCAGAGCAGAACTGGTGTTTCCGCATTAGAAAATTACTCTAACGCATATTGCCATGGTTCAAAGAGAGACGAAATGAACTGAAAACAAAATCAGCAACATAACGAGTAGCGTACAGTTCAATCAGATTACTGATTGTGTATACAGGGTACCAGCTATGGGCAAGAAAACGTGCTGGTGCTAGGGGAGGACAAAAATGGGCACATGGTGGACCTGCCTTTTGGGACCTTATAATCTGATTAAGGGAGATCCGGATGTCACCAGAGTTCAAGGCAAAATGACGGAAGCAGAGGTATAAAGAAGCGAGAGAACACTTCCTGGAACGGGTGCCACGTGATCTAAGCTGTCCTTGGTGTAGGGAGTGTGAAGTGGGGGCGAGGGTGGGATGTGTGGAGTGGGAGGAAGCCTGGTAGGCCGTGGAAGACCGAATCCCAGACAAGCAGATCCTGCAGGACCACTGAGGTCATTTATGAGGGCGACTGACCGCCGAGGACCTGCCCAAGTGCGTGACTCTAAAATGACAAATACATATAATGTTAGTTTCCTTAAGCAAGATGCTTCAAAATTCTAACACTCAATTTCACGCACTCATCGTTAGTCACAAGACGTATACACTCGCGTGCCCGTTTTAAGGGATACACTACACAGCTCACTCGTGTGTGCACTCTACCGGGTGCTCTGCGTCATGCGCGCGGCCTTTCACGCGTACACACGTGTACGACATGGGGGAGTCGGGCTGGAGGACGATGTCACCAACACGACGGGAGGCCACGTGTGCACAGCGGACAGTGTGGTCTCCAGCAGAGCGGTTCTATTTCCTAAGCCCCAGGGCTGGGCGGATGGAAAGGCAAGGAAGCACAGAGCTCCCGCAAAGCAACTCTCCACGCGGGCACCCACGCCTGCCAGCAGGGTGCGCTATCGGCCAGGAAGGAGGTGAGAAGTTTCGACTTCTGAAGGGACCCCTGAATCCTCACCCACGTGGCCACATCTCACTGCAACACTGCCTGCAGCTGGCCTCTGCCATCTCCCAGCGCTCTGGCCCCTCTGGCGAGGACGCAGAGGCTGCTCCGCGGCCCGTGCACCAGGAACCCTGCACACAGGGTTTAGAGGCGCCCTGTTCAGATGTTAGGGCTGCTCCTGCCTGTGCCTTCTGGAAAGGGAAGTTGTCTGTCTGCTCGACTTTTCCTCATGAGTGAGCGGGAGCTGTGCGCTCTGAGTTGAGACGGGGATCCGTGCTAGGAGGGTCATGCAGCCCTCGGTCCCTGGAACACAGGGGCACTGTGCTGCTGCGGTGTCTGCTGTCCCTAGAGGGGGTCAAGGACATGTATTTGTGTGCCCTTGCTAGTGCAGAACGTGCTTTCACTGTTAGAAGAAAATTCATAAAAGACAGAGAAAACAAAGACGCACATGTATGTACATGTATTAATGTTTTACAAATTTAAACCCATAAAGAAAAATAAGCTCCTCAAAAATACACTTTCTAGTTTTGCAGGAACATATACATTAGGTGTACTTAATGTTTTTAAAACATGAGTAATTATACAGAAAACACTTCTCATTGTTTCACATTAAGTGAATGAATTATTTTGTGCTGGAGATTGAACCCAGGGCCATCTCAAATTCTTTGAGACAGGGTCTCATTAGATCACCAGATGGGACTTGAACTCTGGATCCTCCCACCTCAGCCTCCCTGAATTCTGGGGTCGCTGGCGTGCACCACCATGCTTGGCTAGTTTTACATTTTAAACAGCATTAAGTGGACACCAAACTTCTGCAACACAAAAAAAATAAAGCTGAATTCAAAATAATTCATACATCATTTGAAAACAACGAAGTCGATGTTAGTAATTATTTGATCTACGTGAATCTGTGTTCTGGGTGGTGATGGATGGCACCGGTGACCATGCCTGCTGGTTAGGAAACACCTCTGCTGCACTTCCTGTCCTGTCCATGCAAAGGCGGCAAGCTCTTTAAAACAGCAGGCGCTGCCAACCTCTCTGATTTCACAGACTGCCAAGTACAATATTACACACTGAGTATGTTTTTGGTAAATAAGGAAAACCAGCAGACTAAAAAGAAAAAGGTTAAGTAGCAATAATCTCTAAAATATACATTAATTAAGATTCCAAGAGAAATAATTAATGTCAATTAGAATCTTCTTGCTGATCTGCTACAAACTAAAACTACTGCGACTGATACTGAAAAACAAGACGCTTAAAGGGATGCCTGTGGTGCCCCACTCAAGAGCAGACGATCCCGCAAAGGAAGGATCTCACAGGAAAGGGCCAAACACACTTCCGCCCTAGTGTGGCTTTCACAGTACCCGTTGTTGTTTTTGATTTCACAATTTTAACAGGAATGTTTCTAGGAATCTATCCCGAATAAAAGGGCTCTGCACATCTTTGGTATAAAGCGTTTCACAAATTGTGTCAAAAGGAAACATTTTCTAAGACCTCAATGAGAGATGTCACGAAACCAAGCCTCTCCGCAGTCTGGGAAAGTGCAGTGCCAAGCAAAGTTACTCTGATCCCTCTGCTCCCCTCGCCCGAGGGCTCCTCCCATTGTTTAATGTTCACCAAGGCAGCTCCCTTAGAGGAAGGTCCTCCAACCTCTCTAACCCTGGGAGCAATTTGTAGGGGAGAATTTTTAATTCGTGCAGGGAAAGTTTAGGATGGCGTAAGTTGTCTGCTGCACCTTAGTACATTTTATGAAAAATTTGTAACAAAGTAATTAGTCACTTCTATAAATAATTCATTAAGTAGGCTTATTTTCACTACTTCACTCCTAAAAATTAAAAACCCTAGATGATTTAAGTTATTTTTCCTTATTTTATAATTTCTATTGTCATACTGAAGTTCAACTGCAAACACCAGTAACTTACCACTGTCAGATTCGCAAGATTCCATGCCTGAGGCTAAAGTTATCTATATTCTCCAAATCTATAAAATGAGTTTTAATACCAATACATATTGAATTATAACAGGAAGTAATGCAATAACCTCTTTAAACAGTACACATATATGCCTTATGCACAGCAGTAACAACGCTGGAAAACAATTACTGGACACAGGTATCCAAAGAGTAAATATTTCTTTTCTCTCTTGGTCTGGGGTACACTCCCAAGACTCAGCATTAACAAGGCGAGTCTCACTTATAAAATTTCATGGTTACCACCACCTAACAACCACCTGCAACTATTTAAAATTTAAAGTCAGGAAATTCCGGGCATTTTCCAATCTTAAGAAGGATAAGCAAACAGGAACTGAACTTTATAAAATGTCACATGCTCTCGAAGCTCAGCTTGTGAGCCTGTCCCACGGTACATCACTAAACACAGCAGCAGAACAAAGTTGAAAATCACTTTCCGTACCTGCCTAAATTTTGCACGGGCCTCTTTCTCTTTCATCCTTCCGTGGGCCACTAAGTAATCAAACACTTCACCTGAATCAGAAAGGCAGAGCGAGGGTGAAATATACACAGGTTTTGGTTAACAATATACACAATGTCAAGTTTTGCCTCGTTTTTATAGAAACTTTTGGCTCACAATTTTCTGCTATGTTATACAAGCCACAAACAAAATACATGAATAAAAACAAGGGAAGAAATACACATGAAATTGAATATCTGCAGCAGTTTATGCTTTAGCAAAACTCTTCAAAAATAAGTCATAAAAACTCAACCAAGAAAACACGTTTTCTGTTTTCACGTGTTGGGTACAAATGCAGTCAACTCTTTATTGTCCATTCTAACAAAGGGAAGCCACAGCATGGGAAACAAAGATCGTTCTGGGCTCTGTACTTGGGGCCTCCAGTGAAGACACTCTCAGATTCTGCCTGATGGAGCCGGGGTCATGGGCAATGCCATCTACTGCCTGTCTGATTTCCTAGCCGATGAAGCTTAATCTCACTCTACTTAGGGACGCTGCACAGATGAGGTCACACTTGTACACATCTCTGCTACCCCAGGTGAGCTGTGAACTGCTTGCACATTGTCATAGTATCTGCACGTTATGTGTATCCTCTTCAGGACAGAACACCAAGTGGATACACAATAAATTCATTCAAAGAATTAAAAATAACTAAATGCCGGAGAAAAACATTTTTGTTGTTGGTTTTTTGAGACAGGGTCTTTACTTTGTAGTTCAGGTTAGCCCTGAACTCACCGTGTAGACCAGGATGGCCTTGAATTCATGGTGATCCCCCTGCCTCAGCTTCCCAAGTGCTAGGATTGCAGGCATGTGCCACCTCACCTGGCCGAGAGCATTTTCATTAGATTTACGTATTTATGTTTTAAAATTTTCTCTGGTCAGTTTAGCAAAACAAATTAATCTTTAATTATAATATTAGAAATAAAATATCTCAGTGTACTTATAACTTGCAACATACATGTATATTAAAAACTCACAAAGTGGTTTTTAAAGACTTCCCGTTTGACACAGCAAAGTAGTTAAAAACTCAGGCTTTAGGATCAGACCTATTTTGGTACGAATCCAGGCCCAGCCCTGCTGGGAGATGATAAGAAGCCTTCCTAAATTCATTAAGACTGAGCTTTCCCTACCGCCTACCCGTGTGGCCACTGCAGGGAACATGGAATAATGGATACAGCAAGCACTCAACAAACGATGCAACTGCACCAGGTATACTGATGCATTCCAGATACATCCACAATACTCGCCCAGGATGTAAGCAAAATCTTAAAAATCAGACATGTCATGGAAACATGTCAGATGAGACTAACACAGCCTCAGTGTCGAACTGTACCAGGCATCCTGTCGTGGCCAATGGGATGGCGAGGATGGAGGCGTGGCCGGAGGTCCTAGCTGACTCCTCTAAACAGCTACTTTAAGATCTGTGTTAACAGCTGGTAATTTCAGTTAACCCATCAGAGTCACTAATTCCAGATTGTGGGTTTAGGCTGGGAAAGATATATTTAGGATTTCAAAGGATTGGTTCCGCTCTTAGGTTCCGCCTAGGAGGCTCACACCCTAGACGTGTACTGTTATGCCTGATTCGCTTTCCTGGCCACCACGTTCTCTTGCTCACCTGTGTGTTCCTGGCTCCCAGGGTGCTGCCTGGAAAGAACCTCATAAATGCCATTTCCGTGAAGGAAAGAAGGGTACACACGCCATGCAGAGCAGACTGACACCTCCTTGTAATGGGCTCTTTGGACCAAACAGTTCAAAATCATAAAGGACTTCTCTGACTTGCGACCAGTGAACACCTTCTCTCCCCTGCGAACCAGACTGAAGGGACCTCTGTGTGCCTCGGCCAGCCATGCTGGGTACCCAGTGTGCCTGCCGCATTCTAAACCTATGCAGAGCTGCAGAGGAAACACGGGCCAGGTTCTATTTTCCAGAATGACCTTGCCATTTATGGATGGCAAAGGCAAGAAAGATTCCAGACTCATGGCCACAGGATCGCTGACTGGAAAGATCCGAGGGAGACAGACACCTGCTGCCGGGAATCAACTGAACAAGGACGCACTGGTCTGGGCTGACGGAGCTGCCGTCCCCAGGCCACTCCCCGGCTGTCGGGGAGGACGGCAGGGACCCCACTGCTGGCCTGGCACCACTCCCTTTATAGGCACCAATAGAGAGTTGACCGTACGCGCCACCGAGACGTCGATCTGTGCACACACCGCATTAGCACGGCTTTGCGGAGGGCCGCGGGCTCTCACTGCCCGGGATTCCTCCCACCAACGCGGGCAGGTCCCTTTTTCTAAACTTTAGATCACTAGCAGGAAAATAAAAGGAGGCAGAGTGAGTTGGAAATAACATTCGGGGTTCTCATGCTGACAGAATGATATGTAAATCTAAAGGACAGAAAAATCAATAGTTCATTATGTGGTATTTGAAGGTTTATTAATTTTATTACAGACCTATATTTTATGCAAATGTCTTTGGATATTTAATTTTTAAAATCCTATAATAATAAACACTAGCGAGAGCAAGGTTTTCAGATTAAGTTAAAAAACCTAAATTGAAATAGTTTCAGGGTAAAAAACGTTTTGTAAAAATCAAATCTGCTAAAACATTTAATCTGCATGAATAAATAAAAAAGCAGTTAAATACATTTAACGTTTATAATTTTTTGAAATCTGACAGACTATATAAAAATGTAAAGTTTAGATGTTAGAGACTGAAATAAATCCTCGTTACTCCAGTTTATGTAAAATCTCCATCACAAAAAAAAAATCTATAAACTTGATTAGTTGAGAACACTGTATTAAATTCCATTCTATGTTTTCCTATTGCTTAGCAGAAGGTTAATCAGCCAAATAATTTCAGCCACCTTCTATTTTTTCCAATTTCTTAAATTCTGTGGGCCTTTAAGACAATGCTTTAAGTATTCTTCTTTACTTACTAGTTCTTCAACTCTGAAAATTTTAAATACCTTTCTAAGAAGTACTAACAACAACAATTTTGAGTCAATTTGTCTCTCATTTAAGAGAAAGTGCTGGAGGTAAAAGTGATTTTTTCTTGTATATTTCTGACATTTGACAGCCAAAATACAAATTATAGCCTACAACAGCTGTGTCTTGCTATGTCCCTGTCAATTCAGCCCTCTAACTTAAAAAATATGCACATCAAAACTTGTTTACTTTTGTGCATCTTCTCGATGACCTTGAAGATGTATGTATATTAAGAATCTGTCATATATGAACACTTAGTGAAATAGACATCTGACCCAGAACACTCTTTTACTGTGGATTTAATTAAATATAATCTGCATTCGAAATTACCTGCTTATAGACAAGAGCTCCCAAAATATCCTGAAATATTATTTATTATAGGCAAATAAGCAACATTTTCATAAGGTGACAAAACACAGTTTCAAAAATGCCCCTAAACATTTAAAAAATAATCCAAAAATTCTATTTATAATGGAAGAATCAAAAAGTCCTAAAAGCAAAACCACTGAATTTCCCTAAAGCTATGATTTAAAGGTGTTTTGATAAATTGATATATATGCCTATATATGCCATAAAGAGCTAGTATTATTCATTCTACTTCAATCCTCTTCAGCCTTACCCCCACTCGCGTACTCCATGATTAAATAGAGGGTCTTCTCTGTCTCAATAACTTCAAACAATTTCACTAGAAAAAGAAATTAGAGATAGAGAGCTGTATAACTGTTGGCATAGAAGGGATGTGCTTTAAAACAGCTTAAGGTAATACTAAAGCAAGTGAAAAATTGGATTTGCTAAAAATGATTAGTTATGTGAAATTCAAAATTTAGTTCTTGTCTAAAGAAAAATATTTACTACAAAGTGACTCAGAATTAAATTCTTGAGTTAAAAAGTTTCTGAGATTAGAAAACCATATATTTTCTAATCAGAATAAGAAAATAAAAAGAGAAATCCTAAAATCAGAGAAACACATTTTTTAAATGCTTAAAAAGAGACTAGCATGTAAAAGTACAAGATCCCAGTAGTGAATGTAGCTGTACTGTCTACCTAGAATGTACCAATAAATTAAATTTTTAAAAAAAGAGACTAGGCTATAAATGACATCGTAAAATATTAAATAATCTTTGATATTAAAATATATATACTATTACAAAAGTTTCTGGTAAAAACAAAATTAGACTCATGTAGTTGGAATTATTTACCACTAATAATCACACTAGTAACTATAAACAGACAAGAGTTTTAAATATGCAAGAAATATATATATTTCATATAGTTGAAAATAAATGGATTATTAAAGATCTTTTTACTACTTCCAGTCAAATGATTTTATATAATAATATATCTAATCAATAAATTTATTTGTAATGCTGGGGGAAATTAGAATTACTAAAATTCAACAAATTGAAATTCACTGGTTTTTTTTGTTTTTTGTTTTTTTTTGCTTTTGGTACCAGGATCGAACTTGGTTCCTTGCGCTTGCGAGGCAGGCAGCGGAACCACTGAACTTAATCCCCAGCACCACTCTGTATTTTCTTAAAAATGCAGATACTTTGCTTATAAACTATGATAGACTCGAGTGCATATTATTAAAATATCTGGAATTCATTTTTTATAAATACCTAAACGGCATGCACTTTTTACATGGAGAAATCCAGTAAGATGATATGAAACATTTGTATGCATTAACTCCTCGCTTTACCGATTATTTGGATTGTGAGCAAAATATAGCAAATTGGTAGAAAATAGCAATTTATAGCCTGCAGTTAACTTCTTTATGATCTATTTTTTACCCAAAGTGTCCGTTACCCAATTTATCACTTTTCTTCTACTTATAAAAAGCATTCTTAAAAGTGCATCTTTTTAAACATCCCCAATTTATAGAAAACAATTTGTCACTAATCACATATGTAAATTTCATACCTATATTAGGATGATTCAATATCTTCATTATTCGTACTTCTCGAAACAACTGTCAAAGGAAACAGGTAGATATATTTCTGTTTAAAAGAAAACAAGACTCAAGCGGAGAGCCATTGAAAGCATTCTTAGGAAAATAAATCACCTGTGCAAAAGAAACAACAGGACTCTGGCAATGAACCGCAACAAGAGATTTGTTTCTGGGCCTCCAACCCACACAAAGACCGTAAGTTCACTGAAACTGGGTTTCTAAAAGAACCACAACTAGATCCACTTGAGTGGCCCTGTGCCTGTGCGGGCTGTGGGTGTGCTGGCTGTCTGGGAACTGGCATTCTACTCAGTGGCCCTTCATGACTAGGAACAGAAGAAAAATGAAATGAAGGGAAATGCGCCTCCTCACGGTCTTTACTCAGAGTCCACTTTCCCTGGGGGCCCAACTCCTGGATGTCATCTCTCCTGTTTCATCTTCACAAGTGATGCAGGAGCATCTGACTCATGGAACAGCCGTCCAATTTGTCATTTTCCCTTTCTGTGTTGTCTTTGAGTTGTGTCAGATTAGAAATCAAGCAATTTGCTCAAGAAAACAGAAAAACCAAGAGTTGATGATATTCCAAAACATCTATTTTAAGACATGTGTTTTGTCAGAATAAAATCTAAAATTAGTGTTTCCAGAAATGGCGCTTCTCCAGAGAAGATCTATAAATGGCCAAAAAGAACAGGGGAGGATGCTTAACTTTATTAACGTTAGGGAAACAACAAGTCAAGTCCACAATGAGCTACCTTCTCTAACTCAGTAGGATGACTATTATTCTTTTTAAAGCCAGGCGCTGAGTCCAGAGGGCCACAAGGTGAAGGGTAGCCTGTGTAACTTAATGACTCAGTGGGACTCTCTGTCAAGAAAAAAAACAAAACACAAAATAGAAGGGTCGGACAAGCTGAAGTCGGAACTCTTCTGCACTGTTGACAGGACCATCAAATGATGAAGCCTCTATTGAAAACCGTATGATTCTACAGAAAATGATATTCTAAAACAATTAAAAATAGGATTACCACATCACTTAGAAATTCTACTCCAAGTACAGCACATATGGTACTATTCAGCTTTAAAAAGGAAGAAAATGCACATCACAATGTGAATGGCCCTTGTGGACGGCATGCTAAGTGAAATAACCCAGGAACAAAAGAACAGACACAACTGCCTCATGCACCTGAGGTCGCTAAACAGGGTCAGTATGTACATTTTATTGTACTTTTTAGAAATACATAAACTATGCAATACATCAATAAAATTTCATTTCAATGGGAAAAAAATCTCCAGGCTTACCTGTGACAGAAAAACTTGTCCTATCTACCCTGAACACCTCCACAAGATCCAGGATGTACATAAGCCTGTGTTTCTATACGTGCACACATCCATGGGAAGACATTTTATGAAGTCCACAATAATTAAAAACTGCACGCCAGTAAGAATATAAAAGGCAAGTTCATTCACACCCAAGACAGCTCCCTCCTGAAACTGCAAAGTGAATTCTTTGTTTAAATTTGGGATAAAGAGCACACCGCTGAATCTCCGGGGGGGCCACGCCTGAGTCCCCAGGGTCCCACGGCACATCTTCCCACTTGACTGCCCACGTCTTCCTCCCTCCCACAGTACTGCCGCTCTGTCTTCTGCCAGATCCTCATCTCTCCTCAGTGCTTAAACACAGACTTTCTCAGAGCTCAGGTCCTAGCCCCCTCCCTCATCTACCTGCCCCCCTCTTGGGGGCTTTACCATGGTGTCCTGGTTTCGATCTAAAACGCTCCCTTGGAAGCCCCCTCATTCAGAGGTGACTGGGTATTGGGATGCTGTGCTCATCAGTGCACGCACGCATTGATGAGTTCGCAGCTCAGTGTGCTATTAGGAGGTGGGGCCTGGTTGGAGGTGGTCACTGGGGATGTGACCTAGAAGGAGGCATTCTTGTCCCTGGCTCCTCCCTCCTCTCTGCTTCCTTGCTGTCATGGATTGAATCCATCTGGTGTTCTGCCATGCTGTTTCTGCCTTGGAGCTAGTGTACCATGGACTAAACCCCCTGAAATGTGAGCCAGATTAAACCTCTCCTCCATTAAAATGTGTTGTCAGGTGTTTACAGTTAGGGACAGGAAGGCTGGCAGATACACAAGGCTTCTGCTGACTCTGCTGACTTAATTCTTCATCCCAAACACTCTTGGTTCCACCCCCAGTATTTTTCACTTGGCTGTCTCACAGGAATTCAAGCCCAACACATGATTCTTCACACCAAATGGGTGGTCTCCCCATGCCACCAGACCAAAATCCACGGTCTTTAGCATGTGTGGCCAGCCCTGAGAAGAGGCCCCTTTGCCTCCCTGGTCTCTTAGGATGCTTTGGTTCCTGGATGGACTCCACTCAGCATCTCTCTCAGTCCTTAAACTCACTGAGGCCCTTCCCACCAGGGTCTGGGGTAAAATGTTCCCCTCAGACTGGAATGAATGTTCTTTTCCCTACTTTTGGGTTATAAACTATTTCATATCTGTTGAAAAGTACAAAAATCAGCATCTCTGAATCTACCAAGTTTAACAAATAATGTTAATATTCCGCATTAAGCATTTGCAAATTACATTTGCATTTTTATTTTGAAGAAAAACAAGGAATTTAATTAACAATCCTATTTTCATGCAGCATTGCTGGCCCTACCCATCGCACTTGTAATGAGGACCCATCTCACTTCTCCTTTCCTTGTCATCCTAGAGATAATAACCCTGACCTAAGGTCAGCACACACCATTGCACACACTCACATACATTTTCTACAAGTGTAAGTATGTTACTTGTTGCTTTTTGTGTTTTAAATTTTAGATCAATGGAATCATGCTGAAAATTGCATTCTAACCCTCATTTTCATCCACCACATCATGTCTGAAGATCCATCCCCATTTAGATAAAGATGTGGTCCATCTACTTTAATTGCAGTGTTCTTTTGTGTAAGATAAAGAAACCACAACTGTCACACTGAGGGCACTTAAACTTCTTCCACTAAACACAACTGTGGCCCGTGCTACAGGGAACTCTTGTGACCTGTGCCCCTAAAGCAGGCGTCTAGAAACATGTGTTTGGGGGGGCATACGTGTTAGGACTTGCCAAATCACCAGCCCTCCTGCTCACCCTTTACCTCAAGACCTGTGCAGCAGGAACCCTGAGCGCCCTTCCCTGTGCCTGAACTGCTCTGCCGTAGCCCCGTGGGCGAGCTGGAGCTCCCATCTCCCAGAGGGTGCAGCCCTGGCTCTTCTGGACCCCTGACCTCATAACCAGGCTCGGTGAGGGAGGGCCAGCCACCCCCCTGCTCAGTGCAGGCGGCAGGAAAGGTGAGCTGTCGTTTTACACACGTTGGAAGTTGTTTTACACACACACATACACACACACGCGCACACACACGAGTGCGGAGTTCCCTCTGCCTGCTCACCCCTGCCCAACGTGCACCGTGCCCCCATCAGGGTCTCAGGCCACAGCGGTGCCTCTTACAGTGGTGGCAATCAGCAAATAGCACCGACTCACCGCCACCACCTGAGTCCAGAGCTGGCATCGGGGTCTCTCCCGGGAATATCTTCTGTACATTTGCACAAGCGAATGATGACACAGCCACCAGGTTCATGCGCAGAACAGCTGCACCCACCTGCGGGCCGCTTGCTCCTGCCCCAGCCCGGCGCCCCTCAGGGGCCTAGCGCTTCCACCGCTCTGCTTTCCACCATGCCCCACGTGGGCTAATGCACCGTGTGGCCTCCTCAGCTGGACTTCTTTCGCTGGGGAGCATGCACTTCGGGTGCCCCTGGTTACCTCACCTCCTTTCAGGGCTGGGTAATACTCCACCACCAGCTCCCACCACCTTTCATTCATCTGCTCACCGGAAGAGGCCTGGCTGCTCCCAGGTTGTGCCCACTGTGACTCCTTTGTACGCCGTTTGTGTGCAGGCTTGGGCGTGGATGCACGTTCTCAGCTCCTTTGGTAAAGACCCAGGAGTGGGGCCTCCGGATCCCAGGGCCTTGGGGTTCAGGGGTGCGACACGGAAGCCCACGGGAGGCTCGCTGGCCTGGGCCTCGCCTCTGTCCTGGCCGCCAGCCGTCTTTTCAAGCGCACAAGGTCTCTGGAGGGCTGAGGAACGGTGGCCGTCACGGCCCACAGTCCTCGGTTGCCCACATCGGGGCGACTCCGGCTGTGAGGTTCTGGTCTCTGGCGCCAGTGACCGACCCTGAGGCTCGGCTGAGGAAGCCCGAGCGTCGGGGCGCCCGGGTGAGAGGGAGACTGTGGAACTGCACAGCCAGCCTGGGCATGGCTGGAAACAAGCACTTCCCCGTGCGTCAGCCTCTGCGCCCCCGGTTCCAGTTTTTCTTTCTGTTTCTTTCTCTTTTTCTGGCCGTACCAGGAATGTAACTCAGGACCTCGGCAGGCGCGGTGCCACTGAGCTACACCCAGGCCCTCTTTCTCAGCTTCCAACTGTAATGTGGTGACGGTGCCTGCTAAGTATGCACGAGTTCAGCTAGCGAGCCAAGTTCACCATCTCCTGCAGACTTCTTGCCTCAGGCTGCTAGAGCTGAAAATGAAGGCCAAAGTTTGTTAAAAGTGAATGTTGAATAAAGAAGGAAGAGCCGAGTGAGGGCTCGAAGGGTGGCCTCGGACTGAAGGCAGGGACTCTACCACTTGGACTCTGACGGCCCTCACCGCCTCCAGCCTCCACTGCCACCTCCTTGGCTCTTGGCTTTGTTCCAGATAACTGAGGCTGGTAGGAAATCTTGTTCCACGGTTGTCACTGTCCAATTTGGGCCTTCCTGGGTAGGAATGAGGTTAGGCTTAGCCACAGTCCAGCAGCGTCCAGCAGTATCAAGAATTTTCCTTCTCTTCTCTCAACCACCATTTGGAGGGGGGTGGAGGGAAATTCTGTTCTACCTGGCACCGTCCATTGGAGGTGTCCTAGTCCACTGTCTCCCGCCACGGCTCTCAGTGCTACAGGACTTCTCAGCCTGCTGGGTCCCCAGGCCAATGGAGGACGATGCCGTGGCCATGGGGACCTGGCAGAGGCTGGGGTCATGCGGTAGCAGGCGGCCGGCAGGGCCACCGGAAGCTGGGTCTGCAGAGGAGCGTGCCACGTGGGTCCCGTGTCTTTCAGCACAGCTTCCTGGCCTTTCAAATATTCTGCTCTAATTTGAGTTCCAGGAGCAGACAGGGCTCTTGCTTGCCTTCATCACAGTCTTGTAAAAATTCTGCCTTTGGCAGCAGCATGTGGCCTGCGAATGTGACGTGTGTGCTGCTTGACCTGCAGCTGACTGAGGTTGCCGGCTCCTCCCATAGGCTCGGAACGGGGGTGGGGGTGCACCTACTCCCTGCCTACGTAACAGAGCCCCGCAGATTAAAATTCCGGCTTTTTAATTTTTAGGGTTATCACGTCACTGCTGTTTTAGCCTTCAGACATTTAGTGGGACAGCAATTATCTTATAAAGTCATGGCTAGTACCAGTATAAAAACTTAAGCCAACTTCCTTCCATGAAGTGGTAGAACGGAGAAAGAGGCGTGAGTATGGTTAAGTGAACATATTCAGTTATTCCTAGCTAAAAGAGTAAAATGAGTAAACTTAATACCATATAGTCAGTTACTCATTTCAAAGAAATAAGAACGACTTCGGTGCCAGGTCTCAGAGTTCTGTGTCATTGCAGACTTATTTGGGAGCCTTACTTCTGATAAACTGGTGTTCGCTTTACACCGAGTCTCACCTCTGAGCTTGTAAACGTTCAGGACAAGTTGGTGCTCAGTAAATATAACTGAAATAGGAAATTAAATAATTTCAGAGTGAAGACAGGAACCTTTCAAACATATTGAAAGATGGTATTCTCAATAGAAATCATTCAGATTCAAACTAGATACATTTTAACATCCGTAGGATGACAAAAGAACTATGAAAATGTAAAGTATTGGTAAGAATGTGGGGCAACAGCAATTCTCCGGTGGCAGAAGCACCCTGGGCAAGCACCGGGACGGGCCCCTGGACGACCCGGCAAAGCTGGGCAAGCACCTGCAGCAGCTGGCCCTCCGCCCAGGAGCACAACCCACACAGAGCACTGACAAACGCGGCACAGTCTGCCGCAGCAGACAGGAGGTGAGCCACCTGCAAACACAAGTGAGACTCAAACGCAGACCAACCTGAAACGCACTCCATGGGCTCCCACAGGCAGTGGGTTCAGTGGGGTCCTTATCCCCATGGGAAACCTCAGGCAGCCCCTTCGGAGTCTGGAGATGGGTGTGCACGTCACAACCCACGGGAGCCAAGCGCACACAATACAGGTTTTATGTATTCATTTATTTTTGGTACCGGGGATTGAACTCAGGACCTTGTACTTGCCAGGCAGGCAGTGGCACCACTGACCTAAATCTTTGGCCCCACACGGTACAGGTTTTAAGGATTGGAGTCAGCATACTGGCATAAAAACAAAACGTCACAAACAAAAAGAAAGAGAAACTGCTGACAAACTAAAAAAAACCAAAACAGAAACTAAAGTGATTATTTATGAACAATCCTAAATTATAAGCACTTGATTTTAGAGAGAGGGGGTTTAACATTGCTGCAAAGGATGGGAACAGCTTCCCTGAAATGTGACGTTAGGTGATCTTTAGACCACCAGAGCTGAATGCCTTTTAGAAAGAAAGGGAGGGCACAGTCATACATCCTACATCCCTGATGACTCCTAAACTGTGGTGTGAACGTGTGCACACCTGGTGGGGTGCAAGGGAGACACAGAGAACCAGTTAGAGGGAACTGGGGTGTCCTAGGGGCAGACAGTAGCAGTGCTGTATAGAGTCAGGATGGAAACAGACAAGAATCAGACAGTTCCAAAAAGATGAGTCAGAAATCAAATCAGCAAGATTCAAGGATACATTTGGTGGTGAGTACGAAGAGGAGGGAGGAGTTCAATGGGGTCTGAGAGCCGGGCACGGTAGCACATGGCTGTGGTACCTTCAGGAGGCTGAGGCAGGAGGACCGAAAAGCCTGGAGAACTTAGTGACACAGTGAGACCCTGTCTTAAAACTTAAAAAATAAAAGGGTGCTGTTAGGAATGTAGCACAGTGCAGGGGCCCTGGGTTCAATCTCCAGTACCACAGAAACAAAAAGCAAACAGTGGTTCTGAGGTTTCTATCACTGACAACATGGGAACAGGGCCGCTTCCCTAGAGCGGGCCTGGAGGGGCAGGCGGCGCCGTGGGAGGGCACTGGTCACCACAGGTCTGGTGGGAGATAAGGAGCTTGGTCATCTTTGAGAGAAGATCACAAGCAAATTGGGGGGTCTGAGTTGAACAGAAAAGTTTGTGAGTTTACCTACAGGGAATGGTTTAAGCCATGGGTACCTCACCTGAGACCGCTGAGGAAGAGATTCTAGGAAGGAAAGTCAGGAATGAGCCCTCAAACAGGGGAGGAGAAGCCACAGAAAGCAGAGGAAGGCACATGGAGGAATAAATTCTTTTCACAAGTATTTGTTGGGTTAAGAATTAATGAATGAGCATGTGTACCCGGCTCAATGACCTTTAGCTTGAAATGTAAGACAGTTTACGTCTTCTTCATCCTCTTTTCTTTTGTTTTTTATTCTTACTAAGTTTTTTAAACCCCCAGTTAGAAAAGCAGATGATCAGGAAAAGGGCTACATATTCGATGGAGGGGCAGGCAGCCCCGAGACACTGGGACGGAACCAGCCCTTCCGAGACATCTCTCTCTCACCTTACCTGCTGATGTTAGACAAATTCTGGGTTGCTAAGGCTACTTCACTAAAACATTGAAAAAGCACTCAGGTACGACTTTATAAGAATCCTTATTTTCAGTATTTTACTCAAACACAAATCAAGCCCAGAGCCTTGTTATTGGCCGTGAATTTTGCGGAGAAGGAAGCAATGAGGGACCAAGCATTAGGCACACCTTAGTTGTGCAGCAGTATTACTGAAGAATACGATAAACAGGTAAATGAGGGAGGCTGGGAGGGAGGAAAAAAGGACGAATGAAAGAAACAACAACCACAGCAGCAAAACTCTAGAGGTATTTCATCGCTGCTGACAAAGTAGAATCCTCTCGTCACTTGCGTTTTCATTGACCCACATGAGAACTGGACATGACTTTCCCTCCAAAGAGTCCACGCATGTGCGACAGGAGCTGCGTGGGAGAAACACTTAGCAGGGAAGGGTCTCGCTCAGCTGTAAGGGGCAGGCGGCCGGTATCTCAGCACAGGTCCACACTCGAATCTGTCCAGCCACGTCGCCAAAAGCCTCTTCCGTTCTCTCCCTCACCAAAGTATTTGCCAGAGACTGTGATGGGGTTTGCATACCCGGCTTAGTGCCATCTGCTAAGAGATGCTGCATTCTGAACAGCCGTCCCCCGTGAGTGCCTTCTCCTCTCTATCTTAAGCGATCGAAGCTTTGCACAGGACAGAGATTATTTTGTAGATGCCCTGTCGGGCGTGGTCACCTTACCAGAGGGTGTCTGGACAGTAAGAATCTGAAAGCACTGAAGTTTACACGGCTTGGGCCACCGATGCTAGCTGTAAGTGGATTATTTGTTCACTAAAATCGAATTTTGAGATGTCAGTTATTGAGAGGGTCCTCGCTCATGCTCTGTGAGCTCAGTGCACGGTTCTATGCTACCTAACGACACAGTCCTGAGTAGCAGTCAGGGCATCTGTTTTCATTACACGCTGTGCCTGTCAGGAAATCGCTCCCACCCTGCGAACTGGGAATGTAGTGTGACCTGGTGAGCGGGAGGAAGGGCCGGTAGGAATGGACATGTGGAAGGAGAAGGTGTCAGCAGAGGTGAGGGGACGCCAGTGACACTGGGAGCCCCAGCACAGCAGCGCTGCCAGCGTGGTAAGCAACTGTGTCCGTCCGTGGTCACAGGTGGAGGAATTCTGGGGAAGAACTAACCTTATGCTTGAAACGTATGAGCTATGGGAAAACTGTGCTGTTGCTTTTCTTTCCCTTCGTGTTACAGCTTGCTGAGGAGAAGCCCAGGGAGGACCTGGATGGTCACGGACCAATCCCCAAACCCGCCAACGTCTGTGCTGGCTCAGGCTCCAGGGAACAAGGAAACAGCACCCACCTCCAACACCTCTTAGGAACCGTCCACACTGCCGGTGGGAACCATATGGAGGTTCCTCCAAAAACTAGAACTAGAAATCCCACTCGACCCAGCTATTCCTCTTCCTGGTATTTTCATGAAAGAGTTCAAGACATCACACTCCAGCGATCCATGCACACCCAAGTTTATAGCAGCACAACTGACAATGGCCAAATCTTGGAAGCAGCCTGTGTGTCCATCAACAGATGAGTGGATAATATGTGGTATTTACACACCATGGAGTACTACTCTGCCATAAACAAGGATACATCTGAGTCATCTGTAGGAAAATGGACGCATCCTGAGGCCATAATGTGAAGCAAAATAAAGCAAACATGTAAGCTTAAACATAACATGGTTTCACTGAGATGGAAACCCAAAGTATAAATAAAGAGCAAAATAAAAGACAGATAATAGGGAGGAGGGAGACAGATCTTTCTCAAATTGTACAGGAATGGGCCAGGGATTTAGCTC